TGTCTGATGGAATGATGCTGTTTCCTTTCTGTGACTAAACATTGAAGCAAGGTTAAAAAGCTCCCCAAGTGCTACAGAAATGGCCAAGATAAAATAGTGGAGGTTCTAACACAATTCACACCCTGTCCAAAATTTGATAAATTGTTTTCTAGAGGTGTGTGGATGGCTGACAGTTTTCCCAGTGAACATTCAGAAATTATTGTTTCTGCTTCTCCCTTACAGGTTGTTCAAAGGATATTTTATAATGTAAATCGATCATGGTCTGGTCGCATAACATGTGGAGAACTCGGGAAGAGTAACCTTCTACAGGTAAGACCAAATGCTTTTGTCTTGATACAGATATTAGGAATTGGTTTGGAATTGGACCAAACTCGAGCTCAGAACCCAAAAGAAAGTGGTCAGTGCTGGCCCAATCAGCTAAAGCCAGTGCATACCTTGTCCCACAGCTGCATGTGAGCAACGGGGTGTGATGCTGCTGACCTTGACCCTATATGGCCACAATGACATTGACCATATATGGCACAAAGTCAATTATGTCACCAAGTCAATTATGTCACCATCATCCCATGGAGAATGCCCCAGCCGCAGCTGATTGGGATGGCACTGAAAGCTTGCTTTCAGAGTTTGGATGAACTTTTGGTGCAAATCCAAGCTTATCCCTAGTTTTGATGAGGAATGTTTTTTTTGTCTTCCCATTGCCCCAACTGTACTTCTGAGCTCCCTTAATAGAACAGTTGTCTTCCATTAAAAAAAACTGGCAAGGAATTTTTTTCCTGGAGTGCCACAAACACCACAATACTTGGAAGATATTTGTGGTGTCCTTCACTGTCCATAGAAGAGGGGGAGGATCAGGGCCCACTTGCACCATTTTCCAGCAAAATGAAATAACCCTGCGGTGTTCATGGGTCCTCTGGTCTGGCTAAATGTGTGGACAGGCAGAAGGTGGCAAATGAAACTTGAGACTGCAGTTCTCGCATCAAATACAATTTTATTTTATTTTTAGCACGTGGCATTGCTGGAGGAGGAAGACATCAACCAATCTACAGATTATTTTTCATATGAACATTTCTATGTCATCTATTGTAAATTCTGGGAGCTGGATACAGACCATGATTTGTACATTGATGAGCAGGACCTTTCCAAGCACAATGATCATGGTTTGTGTTTTTGTTTTTCTTTTTTGTTTTTCTTTTTTTCTTTTCTTCTTTCATATCATGTACACTTGTCTGGATCATTAATTTTCAAAGTATTGGGTACACTGTGGAAAGTTCACATCTATCAAGCTAGAATAAACACAAGCTGTCTAAAACAGAACAGCTGCACATTCCTCATTTATCAGCCTGTTCTAAATAAAAACACTGTGTTCAACATGACCACCAATCAGATACTCTTTCTAACCGTTATACAGATCTACTTGAAGCCTGTGGGCAAAATATGGTTAACACATTGATAATTGTGCAGAATTATCACGCCAGTGTCTTACTGGTGAACCTCTTGGTGGTACTGCTGAGTATAAACAAGAATCATAATCAATTTAAAACCATTATTTAAAAAAAAAGCTGTTTTAACATAGTACACCTAGCTTGTGTGATTTATAATTTGATTTTTAAATTGCATGTCCATGGTGCTGAAAGGCGTAAGGCACCTATGAACACAGGGTGTAATAGCTTTGTTATGGCATTGACTTGCATACATTTTTTTGTAAGTACTGGTCTACATGTTGGGGTCTATTTATAAATGTCTTAAAACAGAATATTTTTTCGGTTACAAAAAAGTATGAATCTTTGAAAGCTGTGTGACCCTTGGGTATAAACATTTTATATATAGACCCTTTTGTGGAGTTGACAGTACAGGATGCTCCTACCTATACCTATTGGAGGTCTGTTCCAATGTATTGATGAATTGTGCTCCCTAATTATAAGGAAAATTATGCTTTTTATGTTAAACATTTTTGCAGATAAATTTAGAACCCTACTAAGGTAATGCATTTTATTTATTTTTTTTACCCACAGCCATATCTAGCAGAATCATTGAAAGAATATTTTCAGGAGCAGTAACACGGTAAATAGAATATGAATGTTAATGGAACATAAAATGTCCTAAATGCAGAAAAAAAGTCTGAAAAATGACATTTGGTTTTTAAAAATTGGTAAATAGGGATGCACCGAAATTTCAGCTGCCGAAACAGATCAGCCGAAAATGGCACTTTGGGCAAAATGCCGAAAGTGCCATCTTTCAGTCGAAATTGCAGTGCATTCTTCGTTTCTCTTCCCCGCTGACACAGAGCAGCGTTGAGGAGAGAAACTGTCAGGAGGCCGAGCAGGGAGGAGAGGGGTATGAGCGTGTCATAGGAGGCGGAGCTCTCCTCCCGCACTGCCCCGCTCAGCCTCCTGTAACAGATCAGGAGAGGTGTAGGGGCGGAGTCGGCTGTCACAGGAGGCCTAGCTGGCAGTGAAGGAGGAGTTGGCTGTCAACTGAGACCAAACTCTCCTCCCCGCACCGCTCACTCACTCACTGATCGCTGAATGTTTGTAAATGGCTAAAGTATGAGTTACTATGTACAGTTATAAATGATTAGGAAGTGATCTAAAGCACTTCCTATTCATTCATGATTGTGTACATAGTAAGTAACTCGTACTATAGCCACAATGTATGAGCAAACACTCAGTATAGAGGATTCCTGTTCATTTAGTGCTGCGGCTGCAGAAAGATTGAGGATTGCGGATTGAGGTCTGTTTAGACCCCTGATATTTCACCGAAGCGCCCAGCATTAAAGTTAAATAAAAATATTTAAATTAAAAAAATGTGAAGTTTAGAAAATAAAAAATATTTTAAAAAAAAGTCAGGCTGAAACCAAAATTTTTTTTCTATTTGCAGTTTTTCGGTCTCAATTTCATTTCATTGCACCTCTAGTAAGAATTGTGATAACACTGTCCTGTTGAATGTCTTTGCAATGCTCTTGGCCAAACAGACCAATGTAGCCTAAAGGTCCCCACACGCCTTACGATAATCGTACGATATCCCGCGATCGTACGATTATCGTAAGGTGTGTGGAAGCCGTGCGACCTTTACTGCTGTAAGGTCGCACTACTTTAAACTTACGAACATGTTTGCAAACCCACCGAGCATCGTACGATGTTCGGCGGGTGTGTAGCATGTTCGTAAGAAAAGCCGGACGGGCCGGTGTGCGCAAGCGCACACTGCCCGTTCAGCATTGTGGTCATCGGAAGCCCGCCCCGCAGGGGGCGTGGCTTGCGATCATCGCAAGTACGATCTGCCTATGCAAGATAGGCAGATTGTACGCTTTTTTAAAAGTACCTTACAACCATCGCAAGACAAAAGTCTTGCGATGGTTGTAAGGTGTGTGCCCAGCCTTATGCAGACAAGCTTTAGATGGCCGTGCAGACACTCGGCCGTGCAGATCGTACTCGCGATCATCTCAAGCCCTCCCCGCTGAGGAGAGGGCTTCCGATTGCAGTGCTGAGCGGGCAGTGTGTGCTTGCGCACACAGGCGCATGTGGCATTAGTCTCCCGAGCACGCCACTAACCCGCCAAAAATCGTACGGTTTTCGGCAGGTTTTCAAGCGTGCTTGGAAGACTAATGTCGTGCGACCTTACAGTAGAAGTCGCACGCTGCCCATACACCTGCCGATTATTGTACGATCGTGGGATCACCCGCGATTATCGTACGATAATCGGCAGGTGTATGGGTCACCTTAAAGCTCTCCACATGTTTCCATGCGACTGTAGAAAACCAACTATGTAGTGAAGGACCTGCCTGAGTGGATACAAATTGGACGGATTAGGTAGGTCCTCATATTACATAGATTTGTTAAATCTAAAATTGTCTGTACAAGGATTGTATGGTCAGATTGTATGGTGACTCCAAGGTTCATCGACTTAATGTGATTGTACAATCTACCAACAAGTATGTAGTACAAGGGCCCGCTTGATTGGTTACAGATTGGATAATTTGAGGAGCAGCCTAAAAAAATCCAATTACCAAATTTTGGTAAATCTAAAGTTGTACAGAAATGGTACAATCAGATTGTAACATGTATGGTGAGCATAACAGTCACCGACCATATGATCCTTACCTAGATTGGCCATGTGAAAGAGCCTTGGTCGTGGCTTTTTATATATATATATATAAGAGAGAGACCATAGAAATGTTACTTATTGCTAAATGTTCTTACTTCTGCCAGAGGTCGTAAAGCACCAAAGGAGGGGAAGATAAGCTACGCTGACTTTGTATGGTTTCTATTATCTGAAGAAGACAAGAGAACACGAACAAGGTGACTCCTAAAGTCGATTTTTACCCCTACCCTACTTCCATATCTGCATGGTGTTTAATTCAGGGATAAGAGAATTGTAACTAAGAATGAACGATTTTGCCAAAAAAAATCGGTATTTGGGTGCTATGGCAAAGGAAACCAGCCAGGAATCGAATCTTTTGCCTACACACTCCCAAGTTAATTTTAGGCTGCAGTCCTTTTCTAGAACTGCTGTTTGCCGTCTTAACCCCCTTCATGAGCATGCTATAGCAAATGGCATCTAACAAGGGGGGATTTTTTTTAGTTGAGCACTTTGCCACAGGACCTTATAAAATTTACTTGGGGGTGTCTATGTCTCAGAATGGTCTTTTTGGGTAATTTTGATTGTAAAGAGGATAGCTGGCAACTTAGTTCTTTTAATCCTGTTCCAATAAATTGAGGGGGGGGGGGGGCACGCCCTCCGTTTCACACA